CAAAGCACTCCTCTCCCTGCTTCACCAGAAAATCAGATTGAATCGTGCGAACGGCATTCACCTGTTAAATCTGAGGTTTATATCAGAACTGCTGTTAATTACTATTCTCCGCAAACTTAGAAAATTGTGTAAGAAGTAAACAATTTATTAAAGATGTTTATGTATATACCTTCAGTGAACAGTCTTTGAAGGTTGAATGGAAAGTGTTGTCAAATAGGGCGGTCTGGCCGTCACCAACTGTTCCCTCCCTTCCCCTTGAGTCACAAAGCACTCATCCTATGGGATATGTTGGACTGTGAAGTTTCCCAGACGCAAGTGTGCAGGTGCAGAAAAAAGATGCAGTTCTAAACTGCATTTGAAGGAACCTTCAAAATGGGACAGTCTTGTCGCGCTGCTGGATTTAGAACAATGCAGCCCCTGAATTTGGACATAGCCATTTTCATCGTTGCTGTTATCCACCTTTTCCCTTTGAAAACAGAGGCTCCCTGGGCTGAATTTTCAATACTATTTATCCACCCACATGCTCCTAAATGCATTTTACAGTTCACACACTCACTGTCTAGCCCTGTGTTCCAGTATTGTTATCAGCAGCACCCACATGAACTTAGTGACATCCCATTTTTAATACATAGGCATTAATATGGAGCTGGCCCACCCTTTGCAGTTATAACAGCTTCAGCTCTTCTTGGAAGGCTGTCCACAAGGTTTAGGAGTCTGTGTATGGGAATTTTTGACCATGGTTCCAGAAGAGCATGTTTTGAGGTCAGGCACTGATGTTGGATGAGAGAGCCTGGTTCACAGTCTCCATTCTAATTCATCCCAAAGTGTTGAGGTCAGGGTTCTGTGCAGACCAGCCAAGTTCCTCCACACCAGACTCACTCATCCATGTCCTTATGGACCTTGATTTGTGCACTGGTGCACAGTCATGTTGGAGCAGGAAGGGGCCATTCCCAAACTGTTCTCACAAAGTTGGGGGCATGAAATTGTCCAAAATGGCTTTAATGCTGCAGCATTAAGTGTTCCTTTCACTGGAACTAAGGGGCCAAGCCCAACCCCTGAAAAACAACCCTACACCATAATCCCCCTTCCACCAAACATTACACTTGGCACAGTGCAGTCAGGCAAGTTCTGTTCTCCTGGCAACCGCCAAATCCAGACTCATTCATTGGATTGCCAGACTGGGAAGCATGATTTATCACTCCAGAGAACATGTCTCAACTGCTCTAGAGTCCAGTGGCGGTGTGCTTTACATCACTACATCTGAAGCAGTCTGCATGCTTAGGTTCTTGATTTTATACACCTGTGGCTATGGAAGTGATTGGAACACCTGAATTCAGTGATTTGGATGGGTGTCCCATAGGGTTGTGACGATGAGGAAATTTCCCCACCGGTTAATGGACATGTGACAACACCGGTAATACCGGTATCACCGTGGGGGTGGGGGTTTCCTCTTTTCCTCTTTTTTTCCTGCTTTTAAATAGCTTATAAATGCGTGGGTATTATACTTTCACTTTTAGTTTTGCGGGAATTGGCAATTCGGCGTCAATTGTTTGAAAGGTCGACAACGAAACTACAATTAAAAAATCACTGATATTAAACAGAACTCTTATTAACATAACACAACAAAAACACAACAATGCTACAGGCTGAAAAAACTGTGGAAGTTGGAACCAAACAAATAACAACCATAGAACGTTTATTACGTAGCCTATGTTAGAACGTTTTTAAAACGAATAAGAAAATAAAATAGAAAGATAAATAAATAAAGTTTAAATAAGATTAAACGAATGAACAAGAAACGAATATAAAAGAAAAACTTCCAAAACGACATTAGGCTACAAAAATGACAAGTCAGCAGTCTTTAAAAAAAAAGAAATAAATGTCAGGACGGTATCATGGTGGAAAAGTGATGTCACCGGTGTTGCGTCTTAAAACCGGTAACACCGTCAACACCGTCTATCGTGGCAAGCCTAGTGTCCCAGTACTTTTGGCAATATAGCATATAAACACTTTGTAATGTTCCAGACATCTTTTTACCTTGTGTATGCAAAATATCTCCTTTTTCAAAAGATGCTGTGGCTGTTGAGTTGCTTTCTTCGCTTGAAGTTTCTTCCGAGGGAGTGCTTATCTTCTACATATTACCAAAATGGTAGCATGTGCCGTGCTCCGTTAACTCAAATTCAGTGGCCATTTGTTGGGTATAGGTTGCCCATTCTTAAGACTATATAATTGGTTGCAATTGCCTTCATTTATGTGATGTGTGACATCAAGCAATGTTCCTTATTAAAAAAACTATCATTTTCTTATTGCTTAAATTTTGTACCGAGGAGTCAAAATTTGTTTATATCAACCAGCCTTAGTGTTGACTTTGTGCTGTATTATGTATACTTCCGAATGCTCCACTACATCTGATGGCAGTAATTTATGGTATCAGTCATTTAAAGGCTTTATTCTTTATTCGATATCAGTACCAGAACGATACCTTGATTTCGATACTGGTTCCTGAAGAATACTTTTTTTTGATACTAACATGTTTTTAAATCATTTGAAACAACGTGATTAACAAATCGCAAAGGCTGCCATTTAGGATATACATTAAAATTGTTGTGAGAATAGTTTTGCAAATTCATGCCATGCTCCCTGTGTGACAGTCATTCTCACCAATCAGATATTTTACCCAAATCGGTCAGCTCTAATTTCAACAACAAAAATACGTTAAACATCATAACACTTCAAGATTCAAGATTCCTTATTTGTCACATGCATAGTTATACAGATACAACATGCAGTGAAATGTATCCTGAACCGCTCATACTTTGTGCAAATCTTTTATTTTACTAATCTTTTATTTGAACAAGCCGTTTTGTTATTGGTTGGTTTGGAGTGACATTATATCTGTTAGGGGTGCAGCGTGTGTCTCATGGTCAGTGTGTGACTTTAGCGCCCTGCCTACCACATTCATCGGGTCTTTCTCTGCCACTTCAACTTTCTCTGCACTCCGTATGTGTGCGCATTCAAGTAATGATGTGCTTGCAGCGGGATCACATGCAACAAATGCTATTTTCTGATTGGCTGGTAGGTGACTTAACTTTAACTCGATCGGGACAGCTGTAACCGTTGCAGAAAACTCCATTCCATATACCTGCTCCTTGTCCATTAATTATAAGCCTAGTCAGCCTCCAATTTATTTCTACTAAACTTAAGAAAGGGTATAAAAATGAATGGGGGAGCTGGACCAAGTTTTTTTTTTTTCCCCACCATGTCATATTTGAAGTGCATTTGCCTGGAGCATTTCATTGAAATGTAAAGGATTGTGTGAAATTTCATAATTTCGACTACAATCCCCAGTATCGAACTGAATCGTATCGTATCATATCGTGGGAATTTCTGAGGCATAAAAAAAAATCGAACCGTTGGCTTAAGGAATCGATATTGTATCGTATCGCGAGGAAAGATGTGATTTACAACCCTAATACACATACACAACAATCCTCAATCTCTCTGGCTATTTCACGTGATATACAATGATGTCGTCAACTGCTATATGGGGGGAGGTAGTGCTGGTAGTTCTTCATATTATAAGTATATGAAGAACTTTATGATATTATAAGTATCATAGCTGCTGGCTATGTTGTTTTCAGCATATATCTGATATGTGTTTACTTTTTTGAGTCTGTGCATGTTAGGCACCCTTCGGCAAAACAAAGCTGGAAATTCTAAAATTATAAAAGCGGACTGCGAGAATAAGTAAAATACCTGCAATTCCATGCTAAATTTCAAACCCTGGTATGTATTTGCAAGCTACTTTGCTTGTTCATCAGTCATTTAAGGTGGTTTTATTGTCCGTGTGTTGCAGATGGTTAGATGAAACTTTTCGTAGTATTCATATTAACTATAAAGCCAAGCTGCAGAATGGAAATGCAGCTAACACCGGAACTCTGTGTTAATGTCACCTAAGTTAAACTGACAATCTGAAACCTATGTGTGAGGTGTATTTGCAAGTGGGGTGAAGTGTCAAAATGGCACAGCAATGTTATATTTCCAAACTGAGTAAAACATGTTTTATTGATTGTGCTGCCTATTTACTTGTTTGGTTTATTTATTCATTAAACATGTTACTACCAGACTTTAAGCTACTGTAAATGGGTCATTTTATTTTTAGATGCATGCCTAATCAGAAATGATTCTTTTCAAGGTCATGCTTACAGTCAGAATAGGTCTGGGTGATATGACCTCAAATCAATATCATGATTAATTGAACATTTTACCTTGACTACGATTAATGAACAATTATTTTGTTTTTCTTTGCCCTTATTTCATTGACAAGGTTTGTACTGTAAATATGCTCAACTAATTAAAACTGGGATATTTTTTCTAATGAAAGACTATCTTTATTTTATAATAATGGAAGAAATGACCCACAGATTAACCATTTATGGTCATTCATTGAATATTTCAAACAACTGAAATCAAAGCACAAATAGTTTTGAAATGAAAATATCTTATGAAAAACATTTTAGTTTTCATGTAAAAAGCAAATTCCCTAAGAAGTAGAAAATAAATAGTTTGCATTTCTTTCAAACATAAATCATTTATAGTGATCACGTCTGTCTGGGTGAAATTGATCACTATAAGCAGATGATTATTATAACAGATTTTTCTTGATTTGCTCAGGCAGATTAGAATCTAATTTACATTTGTATTTTTATTACGTGAATATAAGGTAATAAAACGTACAGCATTGCTATTATTGAATTATTATTATTGACTCTTTCAAAATACAGTATAGTTTTTTCAAATTACAGTACTGCACAAATTAAATTACTGAACTGTGTAATTCAAATGTGCTATAATGCAGTACACATTGTACATAAAATATAACTAGTTTTGCTACTGCATCTCATGGACTTGTTTTTGGCAGTTTATGATAAAACTTTGATTCTGTATTCATAATTGAGAGAAAATTACTTTCTTTCCCATCATGTTTTCTGTGCATGCAGCATTAGCCTCCCGTAGCTAGCCAGAAGCAGATGGGTTACTGGAAGGCAAAATAGGCAAGTAAAAAAATTTTTTTTTTTTTAATTGCCACAATAGTTGTCATGTATAAAAAAAGACCCAAAATGAATGATTACTATAAGTGAATTATTTAAACAGTATTTGTACAGGAATGATTCTGTCCCAAGCTTTTTGATTCACATAAGCGGTTGATCAGTTTAACCATAATCACTATAAGTGGGTTCCACTGTATTTTTAAATATTGCTAGCGTTGAAGCCGATTGATGGTACAGTGGAAACCGCTTGTAGTGATCACGGTTATAGTGATCAACCCCATATATGGATTAAAAAGCTTGACAATCATTCCTATACAAATGTGTCCTATATAATATAAACAGATAAAAAAAAAAAAAAAAAAGTAGTAACCAAAACGGGCAAGATTACATCAGAGGTTCTGAATGTCAATTTTGATTGATTTTCAATTAATTGATCAGCCCTAAGTCAGAATTTAATTCATTAAAACTTTTCCTGCCAGACTGTATATTGAGCTATTGAAAATGGTTTTTATTTTCAGGTATACATTCAGTAGACATGAACAAATGAGTCGGCTATCCAAAATGTTTTTGGCCACACACGTATATGAACTGTTTTTGTGTTTGTTTTTTTTGGCATAATGTGGGTACATCAAGACTTTCTTCAATGTTGGGACGTCTGAATATATACTGGCAATAATAGGTATATTTGTTTTTCGGCCAACTTGTGTGTACTACTAAATAAAGGTGTTTTAACATGTAATTAATCTGTTTCTAATGGGGGGGTGAAAATATGAAATGAAAATGTTTTCGTGATAATATGAATTGGTTGTAGGAGTTTGAACATTCTCTGAAAAGAAGCTCATTTTTGCTGTGGGATATTATCTAAATGCATTTTTATACTTCAGTATTTGATGTATTGTGATTCCTGTATTGATTTTGCTGTACAGCTATAAATATTCAAATGTATGTCAAATTCCAAATAAAAATCCTTAGCTAGTTAAAATCTAGCAATCCTTGTTCTATCTCACAAACGGCTAGTTGGGGTTCATTGCAAAAGTCGTCCCTTTCCAAATAATTATTTCCAGAGCGTAAAAACATTGGCCTAATATAAATCAATAAATAAATCAATGAAATTGTTCTGATGTTCAAGGCAACTTGTATAGTACTTGCTGTTATACTATTAATGGAAAATATTTTTATTTGAAGCATGTTTTCAAGAGTGAATTAAAGTCTAGTACTTTTATCTCAGTTAATTGGCGCCTTGTGTAAACTAAACTGCCATTTTATGTTCTCTTTATAGGATTCTCCTCCAGTTGAGGCGTTTTATGCAGATCAGCTTTTAACTTATGCCATGAATTGTGACGAGAAGGTTGTGGACAAGGCCATTAATTCCTGGTCAAGACTGGCCTTAGCAGGACAAATAACCCTTCTGGAGGCTTTGAAGGTGTTCAACCCCATGTCAAAAGATCTTTCAGAGACTGAGACACAGCTTAAGTCATTCCTTCAAGGAATCTGGGATGAGGGCCATAGACCCACAGTGCTAAAAAGCAAAGATGTCTATGGGTACCAGTCATGTGTAGCTGCACCCCTTCTGGTAGAGAGTGAGTCTGAAATGCCAGGCTTCGACAACAAAGTTCCTAAAGTTCAGAAGCCTGCTAAGAAAAGAGGCCGGAAATCTGTGCTGAAGAAGAGGGGAGTTGGTTACAAATTGTTGAGCCCAGCTACTGAAATTGTTTTAAAGAAGCAGCCAAAGATCTTGTTAACAAACCTCTCGCAAAAGTCCCTCAAGCAAATGATCCATTCCACATCACTGCATTCGACTGCTAGTCCTGTGCAGCAGTGCTTGAAATTGACGAATATGAGCGGCCCCTCAGGTGGCCACACTGCAAGGCTGCAGATTCATTCAGATTTGGCTCCATGGGGCATCGCTGCCCCCAGTTCTCACCCACCGGAGGCACGATCCGGGATCCCAGTTCAGCCCCTGGAGAGTGCTGGCAAGACACCTGAAGTAGTTGCCTTGGAAAATCTGGAGAAGGCGGACACATTCCTTGTTGGAAAATCTACAGCGGTGTGCGAGAACAGCAGAGTTCTGAAGAAGAATGACAGCTGTTACAAAATGGTCCCGCTAAGGGTAGGTAGGTCAGATAAGCTGGATTGGAGGGACAGGGACCATGTGACCGTTCTTGGTAATTCAGTGGGCCAGGATATGTCCAGGTCCATCTGGATTAGGGAAGACCCACGGGACTTGCGACCAAAGGAAAGCAGTTTGCGGTCTAAGGTGATTAAAGTGGATGATTTGACCACTGACGAAGAAGTAAGACTGAAAGCCCAGGAGATTTTACAAGTTAATTTGTCTCCCGTGATACAAATTAGACCTCTTGTGGTTTAATAGTTTTAAAGGAACTACTCACCTGCTTTTGCTATTTGGGTTGGTTTTGTAATGTATATTTTTATATGTATAAGGTTTTGACCATCTGTTCAATGATTTCAGGCAACAATTTATAACCAGGGTATCAATCAATCAAATATTATATGTATAAGACAAAGTTGCTGAGCCTGACTAGTCTTCAAGGTTTATTGTATATAAATACCTTGCATCAGTTGGATATAACCCAAGAGTCGAATTTTAAAATAACCTTTATATGTCTCTGTGAAGTATGATCATATTTGGATTTGGCACTGGATGATTCCTGCCCCCTCCGCACCCCTAGTTCGGCACCTGTACAAATTGACTGTACACAGTTGCACAAATACACACACAGATGCACGTGTGTATGTACAGTTTGTAACCCCTGTTGACGTTGATGATTAGTCTGACAGAGCCATGTCAGTACTATGCATTGTCTATGGAAATGTATACACAGTGTGCCGGGGCTAATCCTTAGACATACCCATTTAGATACTCAAAGAAATTAAGCATGGGTATGCGGCCTTAAATATATTGTTTTGGTTTTTGGTATGTCTTGAATGTGGGTGCTTTGTTACAGGGCAGAATTAAGCAAACCATTTTGTTCTCTGAACAAATTTACAATTGGATTGATGTGTTGCATCAACTTTTGCTGAAGCTGTTTTAATGGTTTTCTGCTTTTGCTGATTTAACTTTCTCCCCCCTCAATCAGTGATTTGTTCTGGAGTTTAGAGGCAAATACCATGTTTGCATTCTTAATTGTGCTTTAAAGACTCCAGTGGCCTGTACTACGAAGCGGGGTTACTGGCTTAACGGGGTAACTTGTCAGATTTAAGGTAGTCTGGGCAAAATGTAAATGAATGAATATGAGGTCCATTTAAACGGTGCTACCTTAAATCCGACAAGTTACCTCGATAAGCCAGTAACCCCGCTTCGTAGTACAGGCCACAGGACAAGGAACTTCTAAGTAGTCAGAGCCTATAGTATTACTTTTTTTGTTTTTTTAATAGGACAAAAAAGTAATTTAATGACCCCTGAAATAAAACCATTGTGCTTTAAGATTTACTGTATTTTTTTTTTTTTTTCCAAAATGTAGTGTTACATTTTATACATCTTTTTTTATTATTGTTCATTTATGTTTGTGTTAAAGAATAATATCAAATGATTGTTGTTGCTTGGCTGGGGAGGAGATTACAGGTAACACTTAAATTGCTTTGGAATTTAAATTAAGCGTATAGATCTCTGAAGGAATAACTGAAATTTTCACTGGCAAAGCAACAAAATATGGTAACAATTGGCAGAAATAAACTGCTTCTTTCAGGTCACTTATAGTAGGAAGTGTTTTATAGGAGTTCTGGATGGACTCATTTCCTGTTTAATATATTTTTTTTAAATAAAATGGTCATAAGGCATGGTTCTGTGAACAATTTTTTAAACTATTCTTTCAGTGTTGTATATTTGGTATTATTGTTCAGACATTGAAATAAAGTTTTGTTTAGAATGGAAAATGATTCTACATGATCTTTTGAGAAGTTCCTTCACCTTGATCTGACCTGGCATTGAAAGTAGTGAAGTTGGCGATTTTACAAAGTCTTACCTTTATGCTTCAAGAGAGCATCAACTGCCAAGGAGCACTGCATGACTGAAATACCTGCTCACATACAGACAAATTTGTTGGTATCCTTACAGCTCATTGAAATAATGCTTCATTTCTCCTGAAAAGCCTTTAGTATGTGATTAAACCAATAACATTATGAAATTAAATGATTTGTTGTTTATTTTACAAAGATATGCTAAAATAGTATGGACAGATTTGTTGGTGCCCCTAAAGAGACTTATTTAAAGGGACAGAACATGCTGCTGTGTTGTTTGGTATCATTGTGTGCACCACATTGAACATGGACCAGATAAATCAAAGGAGAGAGCTGTCTGAGGAGCTCAGAAAGAAGACTATAGTTAACCATGTTAAAGGTAAAGACTATAAGACCGTCTCCAAGCAGCTTCATATTCCTGTGATCAATATTAAAAAGTTCATGGGCCTGTAGCCAACTTCCCAAGATGTGGACACAAGAGAAAATGCAACCCCAGGTTGATCAGAAAGATAGTGCGGATGGTAGAGCCAAGGAAACCATCCAAAACCATTCAAGCTGAGCTCCAAGGTCAGGGTACAGTCTGTCACTTTCTGATCTTACCATCCATCGCATTTTGAACTTTAATGGGCTCCATGGAAGAAGACCCAGGAGGGCTCCACTATTGACAGAAAAAAAGCCAGAGTGGAATTCCCCAAAAGGCATGTTGACAAGCCCCAAAGTTTCTGGGAGAATGTCCTTTGGGCTGATGAGACAAAACTGGAACTTTTTGGCCAGTCACATCAGCGCGATGTTTACAGAAGGACAAATAAAACTTTAAAAGAAAAGAACACCATACCTACTATGAAAGGGGGGCTCGGTTTTGATTTGGGGGTGCTTTGCTGCATCTTGCTCGGGGAGCCTTGAATCTGTTCAGGGCACAATGAAGTCTCAAGACTACCAAGGCATCCTGGAGCGAAACCTACTGCCCCGGGTCAGAAAGCTCAGCCTCAGTCGCTGGTTATGGGTCCTCCAGCAGGATAATGACCCAAAACATACAGCTAAAAGCCCTCAAGAATCGCTGAGAAAAAAAATGGCTATTCTTAAATGGCCCTCCATAAGCCCAGATCTTAATCCTATTGAGCATCCATAGAAAGATTTCAGAATTGCAGTGTGGAGATGACGCCCTTCAAACCTGACAATTTGAGCAGTTTGCTTAGGAAGAATGGGCCAAACTACCTGTTGACAAATGCAGACATCTCACTGTGAATTACAAAGATCGCGTCTTGGCAGTGATTGCTGCAAAAGTTGGTACCACAAAATATTAAATTACGGGTAACATCTTTTTTTGTCCGTGCCATTTTCATTTGCTTAATTATATAAAATATTAAACTGAATCAATAATCAAAAGCAAAGTCTGATTTGTGTTAAATATGGAATAAACAATAAGGGATGACATTAAACTTTTGTCAGTTTCAAGTTATTTCAGAGATGATTGTTGTTTTGTTTTTTTTCTGGAAGGGTACCAACAAATTTGTTCACGCCTGTATTTGAATGTACTTTGGTGCGTGCTGCAATAGCAAGTAATATCTACAGATAAATGAAAATGGCTGATCATAACAAATGCCTTCAAAACTTGAAAAGTAATTTCTAAGAGTACATTTAATTTACAATATGCAATTAATTTATCCATAGTGATATTCAATTGCAAAGGCAGGGTCAAACACCCCGTGGGGCAATGGGGGTGGTTAAGGTTTTTTTTCCATGGTCATAACAGTGAAATCACTTTGATGGCTTTGAGATTAAAACCAGTGACCTACTGATAAAAAAAAAAAAACGAGTCTAAACCCTGTGAACCACATACCACCCTCAGTGCTAGGGCTATTATAGACCTAACTCCTTGTCAACTGGAATGGCAGCTGCAGGAGGGTGGTAGCCTGCACTTGCTTTTGTGCAGTAGATAAATAATAGAGTATTTGTTTTTAATACATTAATTTTAAGATAATTCCATTTTGCGGGAGTCCCGCGATTAATTCTATTCTCCCACAACCCGCACATACATGAGGACCTTACCGCCCGCACCCGCATTCACCCATCAAATCTTGTCCTGCGCCGCACTCGGTGCATTGGGTCCCGCGGGAATGCAGGTCTCTAGCCTGCTGAATCACAAAAAAAGAATGAGATTATCTGGCATGGACTGTCATCCAGTCCAGGGTGTCCCTGCCTTTTGTAATGTCGTATTATCCATAACACTAAATGCCTTGATGGTCCAGGTAAGGTTGACCTCTGCCACAGTCTCACTTACAGCGGGACTCCACATAGTAGTGCCTAAGTCTGTCTGCAGATCATATAAAATATGTAAACCTTCCCAACTAAGACAATTCGCTAACAAAAATGTCTCCCTAAGCGCCCTACAGTATTGATTTGAAGACCCCTACTTCACTGGTAAAGCGATGAAAGATGCCCTGACTTTTTTTTTTTAGCTGAGTGACGCATTAAGGATGTACTCACATTAGTCGATCTGTGCTTTGCCCAAGCACACTTGACCCCCAAAGTCTAGTTTCAGGCCCGGGAATGGTTCAGTTGGAGCTGAGTAGGATTCGCATCTAGTGGAATCGCTGAATGTGCCTGAGCACAGAATGCAGACATCACAACGATGATATTACTGGCACGCGTATGCACTGGACCTGTAAGGAATGGATTGGGTAGGTTGTGCAGATCAGGTAGAGATAAACATTTAACAGAAATGGAGGTAAAGGAACCTCTTTGTTCTATGGCAGTGCTATAAAGTGCAGTGCTATAAATTTGTACTGATGAGAGTATCCAGGAACAACTGGATGCAACACAAAAACTGTTCTTCATGGCAGAAAGCAAGCTTGGCAGTGAAGGGCAGAAGCATCTATGGAGCTGTGGGTTAAGGGCCTTGCCCCAGGGTCCACAAATGTGACTTCTGCCAAGGTCAGGCTCAAACTGGCAACCTTCCAATTACAGGCTCAGAGGCTTAGCCCACTGAGCCACACACTGCTGTATAAGAGGTTTGTGGGTCATTGTGCCCAAAACAACTCAAAATAAGCAACAAAATGACAATTATGAACTCAATTGTGTTGTGTGATAACACTTTTATTCCTATGTTTTCTTCTGCACAAAAAGACACACAGTGATGATGAAAGTGTACTCAGGCCTAGAATGTTAAGCGCAGTGTGAGTGCAGACCAACAGGGGAGTTGGGAGGGGGATACTTAGGGTGTAAGTACACCCTAAATATCACCCTCACAATTCAAGATGAGTGGGGCCTCAATCAACCCATCAAAATACTATTGGAAAGATAGGTCAGCAGACAAGCAATGGATGGCATCCCATAATGGCTGCTGAATGCAATGTTCCCCGAGGTCAACTTGAATGTTGGATGAGGTGAGATTGTTTTGTGGTCGAGGGTCCCTTCAAAAATGTACAGTGAAAGTCAATTGCTAAGTAGAAGCAAGTCGACATTTTTGTAATTGGTGACTGATAGAGGGTCTCTCCAGAGCAGCTGTCGGTGGAAAATTCTTGTTCCTCTCCGCTGTTTTAGTTTTGTTTCGTTTTTAGTCTCTGTGAAAGCAAAAGTTTCCACACAATATTTATTTCAGGCATGTTTGGGTACACAAAGGTAAAGTTTGGAGGCAGTATTTAATAAACAGGAAATAGATAGGTAAGGACATCAACAGCTGATAAGCAGATAGAATAGATAGATAGATAGATAGATAGATAGATAGGTAGATAGTTTGTATGCCAATTTCCTTCCATAGTAATGTTACCCCCATGTATATTTTCTACTTATGAATATTTCATTTCATGCACTAAATACCAACTTCGATGCAGCACATTGCTGTAATCATCACAAATAGTTCACCATTTGGGCGAGTCAGGCCAGACGTATAGGACAGGATACACGCCGCTTAACATAAATCTACAGGATAAGAAAATACTGCATCTTAGCAACATTTTTGATGTGAAAATTTACTCTGGAGATAACTCGAGGCCCTCAAAGCAGCCAAGGCCACCACAGCTACAGAGCGATTTTATTTGAAATTACTAAGCAACCATCTTTTCCTCTTATTCTCTGGCATTTATGGAGCTTAAAAGCTGTCATTTAATGCAGTAAAGCATTTTTGTAACCTCAGTTGGATACAACCTCAGCACAGAAATTTGAAAAGGTTTATCCTGGTCTAACGCACATATGTGTGTGTATAGAGGGTATATAATCCAGCTAGTGTAACCAAGAATACCCCGATATGTATGACTGATCTGGTGCACAACATGCCAATACAAAACAGGAGAATTTGGGGTACATATATTACATTTTAAAACACAGTAGCTGAGTGGTACAGGATTGCTGACAATACAACGCTTTGGACATGGGTGCCCAGACATTTACACTGCTACACAGCTGCTTGTTGGGGGGGGGGGGGGGGCTAAATGAGCATGCTCAGTAGATGGACAGGAGGGGAACCCACAAGTACCTTTAATGGAACACTTCTGCTTGTGTATTTTAGTCTTTTTTTACCGTAGGTTGCTTGTTTCTTGTG